ATGTTCACACGGCTACGAATGAAGCATATAAATTGACCTTTGAATGTACGGACATATCTAACAAAGCGAGACCTTAATAAACTGAATTTTTATAGCTTAAGTAGTATGTACTTTCGATGAAAACCGGTGCTATGTTGTATTGTATTGGCTTTATTAAGTTCTAATATATTTATATTGTTTTATCTATTAAGACACTGTTGCATTTTTGAGCTAGCAGTTCAAATAAGTGTTGAGGTACCATATGCACTGAGATCTCAAAAAACAACCATTCTGCGAAGTGTTTTGAATCTAAGTTAGATGGCGCTTATAGCAAGGCCAAAAAAATAATTAAGTATGGAATTCATCGGGTTTTATAGATTTCATGATATATAAAATAATGTTAAACTCAAATAATAACAAAACATCATTAGGATTAAAAATAGAAACAAAAAATTTACAGTATACACTAACGCCATCTCCACAAATAATGCGGCGACTGAACCGAAGCGTTGGAGCCTCAGTTATGTCATTAAAGCTTTGGTTAACTGGTTGCAAGTCCAGTGATAACTAAATATAAAGGTTAAGCTAAAGATGTCAGTAATCAGTATTAAAATAAGGTTAAGCATACTTACAAAATTCTTGTTGTATGACGACCTTCAAAATTCCTTCACAATTAGATAATAGTTAGTCGTTGAGTAATTATTATATTCCCAGCACAAAGTATTATGACGTCACTTCTTCATGATCGTACTACACACGAACAAAATTCATCACAATAATATTTTTTATTTTTAATAGTTTATAATGCCACAAACATCGCTTCCAGAAGTCTAAAGCAAACTGTTGATAGTGATCCAAACACCAGCTCAGCTTGAATCACTTTCCTCTTTGGCGGGAACAGATACGCTCTATCGTCGTCCTTTTCACACTCGTTGCCGATCATATTTCTGTCCCTCACCGGTGTCGATTAAAGTAAAACCATTACGGCCAGAACAAAAAAGGGTCCCCTTTAAGCAAATCGTAATATATCATCGCGTTGACGTTATGAGCTTGGGGTCTTCGTCCGAACGAGTCCGCTTTGTCCAGAAGCAGTAAATTTTATTTGAGCTAACTGTCTCTGTGCTGAATGTGAATACAAAATGTGCCATAATTCGCTTGAATTATGGCACATTTTGTATCAGAAAGTTGTTCTCTACAGTTAGATAATACTTTTGTATCTTGAAATACGTATAGTAAGCAGTAGTCACAATTTTACTAAACAATCTTTCTTTCTTTTGTATTTCATAAAATAAGATTATAAAAGTTATTTACATATTTCATACCAGTCAAACTTTCTATAAAAAACGAATTTACTATTTTCTCCTGTGTCGTGGGTGTGGTTACAAACATACAACTTCACATACACAAGCCACTCAGACCCGGAACAACACTTTAAGGATCACACAAAGAGTTGTTCCGTACGGGAATCGAACCAGCAACACGTTGCACGGCCACCGCACCAACCGTGCAGTCAAACTTGCCAAAAATACTTAGTTATTAAAATCATATTCGAATTCAGCCGATAGTATAAATGTTGTTTTATAAAACCACAGCGGTTGTTGAAATAGTCGTATAAAATTACAGATCGAAATAAAAAATACAAACGGTATCAAATCAACAAAGTTCCACGTTCAATATTTCCAACGACACTTAATAAGAATTTATAAGGTCATAATCTGTCTACACAGGATCGGAACAAATGTAAGCTGCGAGAGCTTCGATCCCTCACGGATGAAGCTCATCCATCATTCGAGACAATAGCCAGGGTCGTCGATTCGATGCCCGAGCAGCTGACACTATACAATCGAGTATAGTAACTATATAGCTTTTGTTGCAAGAGTCATAAACTAGGATTTCTAATTGTAAAGCATTTTTTTTGTATTTTTATTACTCAACTTTAGGAAGGGTAGGTATTGTTTTTAACCGACTTCCAAAAAGGAGATTCTCAATTCTACCACATATAGGTAGATATGTTTTTTTATGTTTGTTCGCCGATATCTCCGTTATTTATAAACCGATTTTGATAATTAAATATTATTTCCAATATCGTTTTTTGGGTTGTAGTTTACTTTAGAAGTCGATTTTTTCCATGTGCATCTTGTAGGTTATAGGTATTAATACTACCCAGCGTCTTTAACCACTTAACCAGGGGAAAAGTCTAGCCTATCATCCCTATAATTCCGAAGATTACTTTAAGATACATACTTTTCATTATCTGTACGCGTACCAGTGCCTTATACCTTCGTCTACTACAATTCATCTATGAATTGCATTGGTATTTGCCAGGTTTTGAATTTGTACGGCCCGCACTCACAGGCTAGCGAAGCGGGCACCACAATGAATTATCGCCAACATTGACGGTATTCACTTAACCTTCCTATCGTGGTAATTCGAGACTCATAGATGCGCGAACGCAGGCATTCGCTTGGGGTTCGATGAACTGAAAAAGCTTATACAACTATAACAGACGAATGAAATACACGCCCATGTATATACGCCCACATTATACCAAGTACAAATTATACTAAGTGCTTAGGATAATATTTAAATACAAAAGACCTGTTACACCTTCTTCATAATAGGTAATTATAAGTGCCCGATGTGTTACGTGGTACTTACATCCAATACTATATTGACAGCATTGACTTAACCTTCCTATCGTGGTAATTCGAGACTCATAGATGCGCGAACGCAGGCATTCGCTTGGGGTTCGATGAACTAAAAAAGCTTATACAACTATAACAGACGAATGAAATACACGCCCATGTATATACGCCCACATTATACCAAGTACAAATTATACTAAGTGCTTAGGATAATATTTAAATACAAAAGACCTGTTACACCTTCTTCATAATAGGTAATTATAAGTGCCCGATGTGTTACGTGGTACTTACATCCTCGTAATATTATAAACGCGAAAATCTGTCAGTACGAATATAAATTTGTTAATATGTCAAGTAAAAAGTACAGAATGGTTATTGACGTGTATGTGAAAATTGGCACTGTGATAATTAAATTATCTTTTTGGAGAGGGTAAATCATCAAATGACTTCTCTCACTCAGATTGAGGCGAGAGGGAGTGTCAGACTCTTACTGAATATATATACAGAAAAACTCCCCCTTTCCTTCTCCTTCTCTTGGCTGGTAATTAAAAATATCTACGAAAGTGCTGACAGAATAATAACAGTGGTTTATTTGAAATAGGTTCTAAATTCTATAATTATGTTTAATATTTGGACTTATTAATATAAATTTGCACAATTGCAGTGGTCATTACTTAATAATATTTCCAATTTAACTTGACACTTCAGCGCGTGTCATTCACTTAAGTATCCTAATACATACTCAATAGGTTTCTGATTGTTTTGAAGAGAAACATTTACATCTTTATTACTTAGCACGTTACCATAATTGTCAGGACCATTATAATCTGTTTTAATTTCAAAATCACTTATATGATTAGCGAAATCTACACCATCGTTATATTCACACATAATCCTAATACGTTGTTTTTTTAATATAAACTAAAATATTTTAAACTGAGTATTGTGAGGAGACATAGTTTCTATCTTAATGAGTTTAGTATCAGTTGCCACAAGTAGGTAGGGACCTAAATAGCCTATGAGGTTGTTGTGGTTTTAATTTTAATCACAAAAACGTCTAATTGATTGCGATAACGTAAAATATTATTGACAATTTTAGTAAAACCTTCGTTGTTTTTAGAATCAATAAATAAGGTTATTTACCTTCTTTGCCACGATACTTATTATACATTAAAAGGAGGTAGGATTAAAGTTTTTTATCTTTCAAATAGACTACACATATTATATTACTTCTACGAAGTAGTGATGCTTGCGAAGAATGTACTATTTTAATCTGGAGCGAGCAAGGGTATCTCGCCGCCTGACCAAAACTAAACCAGAACGTGCGGGCTGTACTGTACCGCGCACGCCTTAAAGGCAGACCACCACTGACTGCGGCCCCGTCCTGAAACAGGAGTAGGAACAGGGATGGTTTTAAGTCAATAAGAGCCTAAAGCTTCCTCTCTCTCGCCCCTCATTAAAATTTGACGAAAAAAAAAACAATAACAGAACTATTTTAACAACCTCGAGTGCCAAGTCAAGATATCTTATTTGATTATATTTTATATTAAAAATATAGATTATATTAAATTAATTATTATGTTTAACTTCTCGCTAAACCCAAATAAATTCAAGCCACACCGCCGCGTCTATTACAATTACTATTCCGCATTGTTGATCGAGTCAGCATCGCGATTGTTCAGCAAGAGATCTAAAATTCTGTTACCAAGATGAGGCAAAAATACGTTTTGACCTTTTACTACTACTACCCGTCCAATTTATGAACAATTTCATTCGTTGTATTGAGAATTAACGAAAACCTGAAAAGTACTCAACACAACTTACACTGCTACACTGCTTGCATTTGCAACCACTTGACCAATGAGGAAGCTAGTGCCTTCATTTTATTTGTAATCGGAATCGTAATGATGATACTCGAGTTGGCTTGGGCTGAGTTAGTTGAACATCGCTTCATATCCAAATATCCGTTTACCAATAGGTACAACACTATATTGGATCATTGGGTCTTCCGTTCGATATCTCGACCCCCGTCGAGATATCGAACGGAAGACCCAATGAACATCAAATACAAAATAAACTAAAGGACCATTTAGTACAAATATTTGTGATAGGCGTGTTGGCTACCGAAACAGATTTTAAAGCTTATCTAGTGTATGCAGACTATCGGAAACCCGGTATGTTCCTCTTATCTACTGCACACAAATGCACTAGCCCTTAAAAATTATACACACAACCAAACAAAGTCATTACCAAATTAACGACGTTCAGGTGACGAAAAGCATTTTGTAAACAAGTTTCATTCCGTGCGGTCGCGTAGCTGTTTAGTGCTCGATTTTATATACGTGAAGATTATTTCAATATCTGTGAAAAAATAGCATGTCCACATCAACCCCATCACCACCAAGCCTGCATAGCGATGAGGAGGATTCAAGAGATTCTACAATATCAGAAATTTCTAATTCAAGTATACCGAAGTTTGATACTATCCCTGCATCGCAGAACAGTGAATGCAAATCTGGTGGAATTACATCACATGGTGTTGAAGATATATTAGGTGAAGGTATCAACTATAGTGTCCACGATAACGCATTTTCTGATTGTAAGCCAGAAGTTACAATATCTAACGCTTTTGTACAAGATTACAACTCAAGAGATTCCACAGGGTTTAGCATCCATGATATTCTTGGTTTGCAACAGTCCTATAATACCAATCCTCAAGATGAATTAGAACCAAGATATGAATATCAAATGCCCAATTACGAAAATATCAGCAACAACTCCAACAACTACGGCTCTGGAACTGAAGAAGTCATTTCCGAAGGCTGCCTTGAGAAAACCGACTCATATCCTCCGACCACATCACATATTGGAAATCAGGTTGTTTATACCAGAAACTATGCTGCCAATGAACTTGTTCGATACCACGAAAGAAGTAATTTAACCAACGAAGTTAATAAGGAACCTGCAAGAGATATCAATGATATTCATGATTCTAATTTTCCAAGTCAGGTAAATGATACAGCAAAATACACTCTATAGATATAGACAAAAGAAGGAAATTTTATTTTTGGCATGTGTCTCTATTGTGACGACTGTGATTTACCGCAAACCAACCGGATTCTTAATGGCATTTTAATTTGTAGTAGTTAGTAGTAAATAGTAGTAATTAAGAATTCGGTCGAACTCACCTTATTGCAGTGGTGTGTTTGGTCAAAGTTAGACGTTTTATTATAGTGTTTTATATTTATTTCCAGAATTCAACCTGGAATAGTAAGCCTGTTTCAACTACAGCTATCGGTACGTCTGCTTCTTTAACATCTGGTAAGTTGAAATCGAATACATTTTATTTATGTTTTTTAAGAATTTGTTACATTACCGGAGCAAAATAGATTTTGTTATTTGTTCTTTTCTAGCTTTTACCAATGAACATCTGAGGTTCCGTAGAATTTAACATTGTTATTATGCATACATTTTCATTTAGTCGCACTGTCATATTTTGAAACTTTTTACTAGCTTTAAGGATTGCCATTGATAATCAGCACTACACTAAGCAATAAGATTGCACTTAATCTTCCTAGAAAGAAATCGAAAAAATATAAACTTGTTGAATATTATGTATTACAACAAATGCCGTTCATTTTCAGTATCAAATAAGTGCTATGATTATGTTTCAGTCCCTAATATTGAATTTTTAATATTAATATTTTCAGAAATGTCAACCGATTCATCATATCAAAAAGGATTTACAAAAAGAGCACGTACAGCTTATACTAGCTCACAGCTAGTCGAATTAGAAAATGAATTTCATCAAAATCGCTATCTCTGTCGACCGAGACGAATTGAACTCGCCAATTATTTACAACTTACGGAGCGACAAATAAAGATATGGTTTCAGAATAGGAGGATGAAATATAAGAAAGACAATAAACATAACAAGCCTTCGTCTTCCGTAGACGACAGCAGTCCTTCAAGCTCTAAAGATATGTCACCAACACAAGATCACAAGATGACTCATGGAAGAAGCTGTAGTGGTCATGATCGACACAGGCGTCTGATGTCTGACAATCACGCAGCTCACCATAAAATTTACCTTCAACCAAACGACAATGTTCCTAGGCCACCAGAGTACGCGGCTATAAATCCATTGAAAACAATTTTAAAAGGGCCACAAAATAGCGTAGAATTGCCAGCGTATACACCAAACTTGTCTTATCCACCATACTATGCAGCAGGTTCAAACAGAGCTACTTACTCACCGATGCCTGAGGTTTATCGATACGGCAACGATGACTCACTGCCACCGAATTCTAATACATTGTCTACGCTAGCATCTGATAGCTACGTGCCGAACGGTGCTAACATAAAACTGAATGATGATTTGGTAAGATTCGGTGCTGGGTCGTCTTACTACAATCCAATGCCAAGCTCTGTTATTCCTTCGACTACCGCAGATGCCTATGGTTTTGCTCCAACTTTACCATCAGCAACGATGACTTCTTATGATGAAAACAGATCATCAAACTTAACTTTGGGTCAAGATCCGTACTTCTCATACTTGATTACTCCGGATCCTGCAAGTCAACCGCCACCTTCAACTCCGACTAAATATTCTTCATCTTACATATCACTGTAGTCTTTTGTTTAAAGATATTATTTTCGATCATATTTGCTCCTATACTTTTCATAACTTTTTTCTTTCTGTTTAAGAGTTATTGGATTATTCCAATATTTTTTAGTATTTTAATTTATACAATACTGGTATTTTAATACTATATCAATTATGTAAAACATGTGTAAATAATCAATTAATGTGCTTAACGAATTTCAAATTATTATTATTAGATAGAAATTTATTTGTATTTTTTTACATGTCAACCAATTTTATGTATAAATGTATAATAGTCAAAGATATTAAGACTTAATATTACAATGATTAGGATAGTGAACGCTATACTGTGTATATCAAAGATGCCATGTATTTTTGGAAATTCTTGTTAATAATAAGAATATCTAGTAAGCGTAATATATATTAAGTTGTTATTAAATTAAGTTATTGTACAATGTACGTGACCGTGTATGTTGAACAGATTTTAATATTATAAATTAATATATTTTTTTACTTTTATAATTAATGTTCTGCTTATTTCATTTCTTATTACATCTCATTTTTAAGATTAATAATTTAGCAAGTGATTTTTAAGAAAGGAAATTATTTTAAGAGTTATGGTAGCGAATTGATTTCAAGCAATGACCGCCGCCCGTGGACATTTGTCAGCCCAAAGAGTTGTAAATGTATATGACAGGTCTTCCGAGGGTAGAGAATAGACCTCACCCAAGTGGCGACACAAAGGAAGTTTCTTTTTTTAAAAGTATCGGCGACGGTGGCCCGGAGGTTAAGGAGCCCGCTTCTCATGCATGAGGGTGTGGGTTCGAAACACAATGTGACTTTTTCCGAATTATATGTAGGTACTTTCTACGATAATTTAGACACCCGACACGGTGAAGGTAAACATCGTAAGGAAACCTTTACTTATAATTTAATTTCTAATTATAAGTTTGAAATCGCCAACCCACATTGCGCAAGCGTGGTGATTAATGCTCTAACCTTTTCCGTATGAGAAGTTTTAATTACAGTTTACTCAGCAGTGGGCACTTACAGGCTGATGACGATGATACTATTTTTATAGAAAAAACGGCATACCTTAGTGAACAGAAAAACTGTACTAGTTTCAAATCAGTCAGTCAGTCATGCGCCGCCTCGCGTACACTCCTAATGAATAAGAATCCCGTTGTGACTTGAAACTAGTAGAGAGTTTCTCAATTTATTCACGTAAGTAAGTCGTTATTTTCAATAATACGTATATATGTCACACACATGATAGTTACTATTCATAAATAGGTATTTTTATTACTCAAATATAGGAAAGGTGTCGTTTTCCATGCACATCTTGTATTTTATATCTTTCACTAGCTTTGTCCGTGTTACTAGAGTAAAGGCCAAAGAGTATAATATAACCACCATGGATTATTCCTCTATGGTAAAGCCTAAGTAATCTATGTGTGTCTCAATGCCAATTTTTATGAAAATCCCATTCTTCATTCTTTTCATTCCCATTTTTTATGTGTGGGAGCTTGAGCCATGCTTCGGCACGAATGGGTCGGCTCGACCGAAGTGATACCACAGCCTTACAGAAAACCGGCGTGAAACAACCACAGCGTTGTGTTTCGACGTGTAAGTGAGCTTATCGGAGGCCCAATCCTTCCCCTCCCCCAATCCCTAAATCTCCAAATCCCTAATCCCTAATCCCTAAAAAGTCAGCAACGCACTTGTAACTCCTCCGTTGCAGGTGTCCATTTGCTCACCATCAGGTAATCCGTCTGTTCGTTTGCCGACATATTTATTTAAAAAAAGCTTGTTTTTACGTGAAAATGTACCTAATAAAGGCGTATGCTGCTCGTGAACAAGATTTCTGCTGTCACTTGAAACTAGTAGGCCTATCTCAGTTAATTAATTTAAAAAAAAGTCGTTGATTTTGAATAAATTCAATACGCTAAGGAAGCGTTGTTTTACCCGTTTTCTTTAAGGCCGTGATATCACTTTCCTTCATTTAAGTTTATCATAATGAATAATAATATGATTATTATGAATTAACCGAGAAAGGCCTCTACTTGTTTCAAGACATCAGGACTCTTATTCACGAGCATCGTACGTCATGGTATACATCTTTAAATCAATCGATTAAAATGTATATTAGGTACGATGATACAAGTAATATTAACTAGGCCTCATTTAAGCACATTTGTTATATTTTATGTGTTTGTGTTAAGCGTTTGATGACGCAACCTGCATCGTATGCGTAAACGAGGCTTTTTCTTTAGATAACCGTTAAATTCAAATGTAGAACGTAATTATTGCAATTTAGAATTTATTTTATTTCCAATTTTTATTTATTTATTTAAAAAAGTTTGTAATTTATGAAAATTAATTAACTTTTATTTGTGAATGCGATGCTTTAACCGCTAGTCTGCCGTTATATGATACTCAATAGAAAACACATTGTGTCTCGCGTATATCTGCGCTCCGGCACACCACGGGTTAATAGCGATATCGTGTAGATCGACATAAAACTGATTGAGTGTTTCTAAAATGGTTTTATAAATGTATTTGTTAAGATGAACGTCAGTCATCTTCTCCTTTTTAATGGTCCCAAAGTCACCACTGTCTTACCAGTAAGTGAGTACTGGTTTTTCTTAATTCAGTTTCTAATTCAAATTGAGAGTGGGCCGCGGGCACCGGTTACCTTTCTCTTCTAGGCCGTTGTTGGTGACATCATCAGCTGCAGCTTGGGGAGTTCGGGCGCTTCAGTACTGTAATGATTGAGGCGCGAGTGTGCGAGGTTACATAGAACTTCACGAATAATATTTTAATTTTAGTGCGAGTGTGAGTGTGAGTGTGAATGTGAGTGTGAGTGTGAGAGTGAGAGTGAGTGTGAGTGTGAGTGAGAGTGTGAGAGTGAGTGTGAGTGCGAGGGTGAGTGTAATTGTGAGTGTGAATGTGAGTGTGAGAGCGAGTTTGAGTGTGAGTGTCAATGTGAGTATGAGTGTGAGTGCGAGTGTGAGCTTGAGTGTGAGTGAGTGTGAGTGTCAATGTGAGTGTGAGTGTGAGTGCGAGTGTGAGTGTGAATGTAAATGTGAATGTGTGAGTGTGAGCGTGAATGTAAATGTGAATGTGTGAGTGTGAGTGTGAGTGTGAGTGTGAGTGTAAGTGTGAGTGCGAGTGTGAGTGCGAGTGCGAATGTAAATGTGAATGTGTGGGTGTGAGGTGAGTGTGAGTGTGAATGCGAGTGCGAGTGCGAGTGCGAGTGCGAGTGCGAGTGCGAGTGCGAGTGCGAGTGCGAGTGCGAGTGCGAGTGCGAGTGCGAGTGCGAGTGCGAGTGCGAGTGCGAATGTAAATGTGAATGTGTGAGTGTGAGAGTGAGTGCGAGTGCGAGTGCGAGTGTGAGTGTGAGTGTGAGTGTGAGTGTGAGTGTGAGTGTGAGTGTGAGTGTGAGTGTGAGTGTGAGTGTGAGTGTGAGTGTGAGTGTGAGTGTGAGTGTGAGTGTGAGTGTGAGTGTGAGTGTGAGTGTGAGTGTGAGTGTGAGTTTGAGTGTGAGTGTGAGTGTGAGTGTGAGTGTGAGTGTGAGTGTGAGTGTGAGTGTTAGGTGAGTGTGAGTGTGAGTGTGAATGTGAGAGTGAGTGCGAGTGCGAGTGCAAGTGCGAGAGTGAATGTGAGTGTGAATGTGAATGTGAATGTGAATGTGAATGTGAATGTGAATGTGAATGTGAATGTGAATGTGAATGTGAATGTGAATGTGAATGTGAATGTGAATGTGAATGTGAGTGTGAGTGTGAATGTGGGTGCGAGTGCGAGTGCGAGTGCGAGTGTGAGTGTGAGTGTGAGAGTGAGTGCGAGTGCGAGTGCGAGAGCGAGTTTGAGTGTGACTGTGAATGTGAATGTGAGTTTGAATGTAAATGTGAATGTGTGAGTGTGAGTGTGAGTGTGAGTGTGAGTGTGAGAGTGAATGTGAGTGTGAGTCTGACTGTGAATGTGAATGTGAGTGTGAGTGTGAGTGTGAGTGTGAGTGTGAGTGTGAGTGTGAGTGTGAGTGTGAGTGTGAGTGTGAGTGTGAGTGTGAGTGTGAGTGTGAGTGTGAGTGTGAGTGTGAGTGTGAGTGTGAGTGTGAGTGTGAGTGTGAGTGTGCGAAGTGTGCGTGTGTTTTCAATTTGGAACTATATGGTAATAAAACATAGGTAAGTATATGCAGTAATGTCATGATGACTTTTTTAATTGTCTGTCAACAATAAAATAAAATCGTTATGTAGAGTACGTTGAAGCATCTCAAACATTGATTAAAATTTAGGTCCAGGCTAGATCTCTATAATTAACAAAATGCAAGGATATACGCTATACCTACTTATTGCTCGAAATAACCATTCAAATGTGTATATTTCATATTTGATAAACACACATTTATGTTTTTAATTATAAAATAAAAAGAAATAAAAAAATCACATTTATTCAATCTGTCTATTTAACATGAAAATGGTAATTATAATGTGAATGCGAAGCAGAATGTTTTCAAAAAAAGTTTTCTTTTATTATTTTACTGGAACCACAGCATTGGATGACCAGTGGTGAGTGACATAAGTAGAACTGAAATAAAAAAAAAAAAAAAACATTATTTTTGACTTGTATAACCAAGTAGGTGAACTACCTTCTTGCAGTTGATAAAAAAAAATGAAATCTGGTATTTTTTTGTAAGTACGGCAATCGAGCTGACCTGATGCAGCGCCGCCCATGGACACTCGTAGTACTAAAGTAGCTAATACTTTACGTGTTTATTGCGTTACCGGCCTCTTGTTAGTTATTAGGGATTAAGGATAATGGGATTTGAGAATTGAAGATGGGGTAGTGGGAAGAATTGGGGCTTTTCTTGTTAGGGGAAAATCATCTAATGACTTCTCCCGCCCAGGGTAAGGCGACAGAGAGTGTCGGACTCTTACTGACTAAAAGCACCCCCGTTCCTTCTCCTGCTCTGGGCCGAGGTCGCGGTGCCTCATTTCGCTTACCCCGCAACTCCATAGCTGTAGGCTGATGTTCAATCAGCCCTATTGGGCCCCGTCTGTAGTGGTCTATTGGCTCTTTGAGGCACGCGCGGAACGCTACGAACTAAATGCTATCCTTAGTTAACAAATCTAAACCGACGCGCGACGTAAACAAACGGTTTGCGTTATTAATTCTTACCTATTTTTCAGTCTTCACGAATAATTCGACTTACAATTTGTCAAACATTTATAATAATTGTTTGCGTGAGAGTGAGGATACCGGAGGCCCAATCCTTCCCCTCCCCCAACCCACCCCCAATCCCAAAATTTCTTAATCCCTAATTCCCACAAAGTCGGTTACGCACTCGCAGATCTTCCGTTGTTGCTGGTGTCCATCGGTGGCGATGATTGCTTACCATCAGATAACCGGAAGGCTCGTTTGCCAACCTGTCACATAAAAAAATTAAAAAAATGTGATTAAAAATATTTTTTAAATTTATATTATACTTTAAAATAAAAAAATAATATTTCATTTATTTTATTCTAACTTAAAATACGTATACGATTAAAAAGAATACGTTCTAAATTTAAAATTAACATTGTTTTGTATTGTCATAGTAGCTATACAGATACTGATTGGTCAGGCACATACCTCGCTTCTATGTGGTTGTGACATGAACTGCTCATGCACTGCACATTCAATTGCGCTGTTTTCAATTGTGGACTTGCGCTTACGCTTTACTACCACTTTAAAGGTCCCACAGGTCATCGATAGAACTGAAATTATTAAAAGAACATAATTGAATTACGTAAATGGAAAGAAGAATTTGTGACGAGTGATTGTTTATTATTTATGGACCGCAAACCAGCAGACGGGTTACTTGATGGTAAGCAATCAACGGAGGAATAACGAGCTTAGTGCTGACCCTTTAGGAATTAGGGTTTTGGAGATTAGGGGACAATTTTAATTCGCTTAGAAAGTGTTAGCAATGATATATTTTTTTTTTATTTTGAAGAAAATGTTCCCTTACTCTAGGATTTTCTCACGTGTCGTCGGTTCGTTTACAAACATACAATTTCACGTACACATCACACTCAGACCCGGAACAACAAATCGTGGATCACAATGAAACAATGAATTTATTTTTGCAAATGAGTGTTTCCGTGCGGGAATCGAACCCGCGACGCTTTGCGCGGCAGCCAGTTGCCCAGCCATTGCGCCAACCGTGCAGTCAAAAGCAAACATAGTTTAAAATAGTTGAATGATGTCTGACAAATGAAAATGGAAAAATAAAATATTGGTTGTAATGTTTTTATGTATAATACTTACTTGTGGCTCCAGTTTGGTGATATTGAAATCCTTCTTTAATGAAATGACTTTGGTTTTGACTTTGACTTCATTCTCATTGGATAAAGAGTCAGTTGATCATACGTTCAAAATGAACATTGCTATGCCTTAAGGTAAAAATTAATACTTATAAGTGATACAAGCATGATGGTTCCTGTTGATTAATTAATATTTCATAAATTATTATTTTGTCAAAATATTTGTGCTAACATGAAATAAATAACATAAAATTATAACATATATATTTTGATGGCATGTACGCATAGGCACGAATGGGTCGACGTGAAACGACCACAGCGTTGTGTTTCGCGGTGTGAGTGACGTTACCGGAGACTCAATCCTAACCCTCCGCCAATTTTTCCCCATTCTAAAATCTCCTAATCTCTAATCACCGAAAGGTCGGCAACGCACTCACAGCTCTTCTGTTGTTACGTTCGTCCATGGGCGGCGGTGATTGCTTACCATCAGGTAATCAGTCTGCTCGTCCGCCAACCTACCTCATAAAAAAAGCTGCGATGCAATCGATTCGAATCGAATTTTAGCTTAGAGCTAGCTGCCGCGGTTTCGCCCTCGTGGTAGATAAATAGTAGTCATATACATACCATACTCTGGTAATCTTCGATCTTTTCCTATAGTCACTTCAACGGCCAATGGTATTATATCCCCAACGATCACTCTCCAGTCTTGAATCGGATCCTTGGCCTATCTAGGCTTGAATCCAGGGTTGGATGACAAGGCATGAATGCTGTGTCAGTACCAGTTAGCAGCGCATTGTCTTCGTGTACCATGCAAGTCTTGAACATCGTGAACTTGTTCTTACGTTTCACTACAGCTTCAAAGGTCCCTTAGATACGTTATGAAAAACTGAAACAAAAGAAATTAATAAACTCAATATAAATAAATATATATACTTACTTATGATTTTCTTACTTACTTATCTATTTCACGATTATCATAAATAATGGTCTTGTTTATTACAAAATCTGTTGTTATTATTTTAATAAAGGTGAAATGAACGAGTTTAGAACATAAGTCACTGTGGTAAACTTGTTTGTAATAAAGAAGTATTTCTATTTTACTGCTTTTCGGGAATTAACACGCACGTAAATTTTTTATTTGTCCATTTCCTTGACGTTTCGGCAGGATTACGCCTGCCATGGTCACAAGCGTACTGTGCGTCTACGCTACTCCGTCAATAAAGGTGATTGATCTTCATCTATCCTCGATGTTAATAAATGTCCACTATAAAACCGCGTACACACTACACTCACTGTGTCCCGTCAAACAGTAAAGTCGTACATGTAATATGCAACGCGAAAGTTTAATTAAATTATAATGAAGAAGTATGTAAAACACGAGCTCCGTATGGTATTCCGAAAAACCGCTCACCGAAAGGACGGTTTTCCGATAACACTACTCCGACGGTTAGTTGAACGAAAAAATAATTGACTGATGAAACGTTTCGCCGATAATATTATTCATCGACGGTTGGTAGTCTGAATATCCTTCGCCGATGTAACTGTACACCGAAAACACACGCCAACGACGATTGGTTAAACGAACAAATCTTTCGCCGATAGCACTCGTTGCAGGGGAATTCTTTTGCCAAATGGGTAGTTTTTCTTTCAGCTTGACAACACCCTTAGGTATATTTATATTACCTATATTTTTTTACAAGACCTAACCGTCGGAGTAGAGTGTTATCGGAAAAACGTCCTTTCGGTGAGCGGTATTTCGAAATACCATACGGAGCTCGTCACAAATACTTCAGGTAATACTTATTAAATGGCACTCAATATTATAGACGATTTTCGTGTTGATGCAAAGTACACTTACGTCGAGATCGCATCAGCTGTGTTTACACCATCACCAAACTATTTTAGCACCTATCGTGCCTCGATAATGTAAATTGATCGAATAGTGCTCTTGTCTTTATGACTAACTGCAGTTCTACAGGTTCCATAACTTGTGAATAGATCTGAAACAACAAAAAATTAACATGATATGCCAAGTATAGTATCATGTTGCCAAGCCGCGCCTCGCATAGATGTCTGATAAGCGGGATGGGAAAAGAAGATATTCACTATAATCATATTTATAATAATCATCATCAAGAGTAAGCTATGCTTCGGCACGAATGGGTCGGCTCGACCGGCGTGATGCCACGGCCTTACAAAAAACCTGTATGAAACAACAACAGCGTTGTGTTTCGCCATGTGAGTAAGGTTACTGGGCGCTCAACCCTTCCCCTCCCCTAATCCCTAAATCTCCAAATCCCTAATCACCAAAAGGTCGGCAATACACTCCCAGCTCTGCGATGATTGCTTACCATGAGGTAATTGGTCTGTTCATTTGCCGACCTATAACATAAAAAAATAATAATAAAAATTAAAAAAATTAAGGTACTACTTACTTGTGATTTGAATGCTAGCTATGTTTTCTGCAAATCGATATTGATTTTATCTTTTAGAACTATGGAAAGCTGTTTTCGGTATTGATACGGAGCACAGTAACTTCGGATGAGGCCTGATGAGGGCGTTTAGCTGCACTTATGTATATCACCGATGTTGATGTGATTGTGCACCTCGAACAAATTGCCACTTTGAAGGCTCCGAGGGTAGAACTGAAACAATAAAAATAAACTTATGCTTTATATATTCGGTATAAGTGTTGCTAACAAATTAAATAGTCATCGGTCTTAAAGTAATATATACCTAGTTAATGGTGATTTGAGCTTGCCACTTTCTGCTATTCCATATCTTTTTCTTAATTTTTGGCTCTTTGGCGATATGTATCGCAAATAATTTTGATTGAAATCGGAATCCACATGCAGATTATTCGCACCAGGGGCTGGAGTCAGTTGTTAGTTGATCATTGTCAGGGGCACTTAGGAAGTATTCTTTCAGCTTAGGAGCCCTAATAGTTCAGTTCATAAGGAACCGCACGGCTCCAGATTCCGCTATCCACAATGCCCTTCACACCGCCAGCGACAGATTAAGGTGCGAGACAAAGTGATGCAAAAGGGTGGTCACGACATTCAGCAAAGAGGAATGCGATGCAAAGAGGAGGAACAGTTTACTTTAGACCTTTTTTTAATAAACTGTCAGCTGTCTCAGCTCAAGTACTGATATAAATACATAGAATTTCTTCACTGGGAAACTTTCGAAAACAGTATTTTGTCTGCTATCAGCAAAAGAATCAACAAATAAGACATCCGCACATAAGACGATAAGAAACTAATTATATTAGTGTCTTCATTAGTGATTTGTGTATGTTATCGATTGTTCTAATCAAAAAATCTCAGGACTTATCTAAATAAAGTAAATATTGGTGTATTTGTTCTCATAAATAAAGAAACTGGTTAATTAGATAGTCCGTTATTTTGTTCACTCCATTGGTTCATGGACAGAATAAATAAATACAAATTCGTATTGCCGTCATCCTTATGCAAAATATACATTAGTTCATACGTATACATCGATGATGGTACCAAGAATGACGTAGGTAATTAATCACTAGTGGTTCATTTAGAACCCTTAGAACTTGTATTTTTATATGATACAAATTATGTATTGATTTTTAAAATTTACATTAAATATTTTTTGTTTTGATAATTTTCATAATTTTTGGTTTATTACATTATTGTAACAATTTAAATAATGCAATGGTTGTGTGGTTATAGCAATGGTAGTAGATTTTGCTAATCATAATAAGTGATTTTGAAATTAAATATTAATTTTTGAAACAATTACAGTAATGTGCAAAGTAATAATGAGTTAAATGTTGGTCTTTGAAAACCGATTGCAAAGGATGAGTCCAGGGCCCACATTCAGCCAGTTGGTACTCGTAGTTGATAGTGCGGCGCACCGCGTTGCAAGTCGCGCGTGCTGCTTGAATTTTTAAGCCCCTTGTGTGCCTCGAAAATCGTCAAGCGACCTTAAGGTTGCCTCAGTAAGTCGTATGACTTGATTCATTTAATATGTATTATGTAAGTGGTGACAATACAACATTTATTACGACAATTGGTTGGCCTATGTTGTGTCTCAGTGCAAATAGTTAACTATCAACACTTGGTCTATGTCAGCCATAGTCGGAGAGCTGGTCTGTTCTTCAAAATTGCCATTCAACGGAGAAATGCTTCCAGCGGTACTAGCACAGACTTCCAACCAGTCAAAAGGTAAGTACTAGTAAGTAGTAATACCAATTAAAGGTATTGCATAGTTTTTTGGTTGTTTTTTGAATTAGAGTTTTGAGCGCAGCGCGGGTTGTTTTGGGGGTTTTAGATGCATTATAACTATAGTCTATACATTTTTATTTTTGTATTTGTTTTTATATAACCCTTACATAACTAAGTAAATTTGATGTAAGTATGATGATATATACTTAACGATGATTGTAGGTTTTGTGTATTACTTTGAATTGTACTGACTTGAATTTTATTAATTTTACTAAACACATTCGTAGAACTCGGGAATCGAATGTTTTAAGTATTTTTCTTCATCGATATGTTTATAAACGCACAAGAAAATCTTCATCATAAATTAAACAATAAGATTTTAAATGAATAAATGATAAATCAGAATATTTAGACAAAAAAAAAATAAATATTCGCAAAAGTTTCTTAACACCGAAGCCGCGCAGTGTTTCGTTTAGCCAGCTTCAGTGAATTGAAACCGTATCAAATAGAACACAATTTTTCAAATTATCTAAGACAGACTAGGTAACACAAATTGGAAAAAAAATCTCACAAATAATAGCAAGATGGTTTAACACTTCGCCATTATAGTTTTCATGTGAACAGACAGCAGATTCAGGTCAAGGAGAAATGTGGTTGTCGCTTTTATTTTATCAAAAACACAAATACGCAGATGAATTTTGACGGACAAGCATAGAGTACCACCTTATTTCTGGTGAGTTGGCAGCAAACCTCATAGCTGACGTAGTATTCCGTAGCCTGCCTTGGGCAAAGTGCAAGAGCAAACTATGATCATGCACTTTTATTAAAAAACCGAAGAATCAGAATGAATATATTCTTCCCAAAGTTGACTTAAAGGATATGAATCCCATTAAGTGGGAATTTAACTACCAGAAGGCCCCTTTTTCTTTTGAGGCCCATATAAAATGTCTTCTTTGTGATTAAAATAATTTGTCACCAAATGTCAAGGCTGATATGGTATTCCGCAACCTTCCACAAAAATTAACGCAAATGAGATTCCAAAGTGTGAACCCTACACACGTCGTTATAAAAAAAATTGCTTGACTTTTTTTAAGAAAGAAAAACACGGAGACTTTAGACATATTGCTACCTAATATACCTTCAAAACGTAATGGACTAACAAATGGGAATTATGTTGTTCGTAGCAGTTGGCGTATTGAACAAAATATGTATACAGATACATATTAATAAAGCCGCTGCTGGAGCGTCACAATACGAATGTTTCAAAATTTAAAACAGCATCAAGAAAACTACGTGCTTAAAGACTGCGATGAAGAGAACTTAAAAACAAATGACGAGCAAAAGTTTACTGGTTAGTTCTACATTGTTCTGAATCTAAATAAATGTGACCATTTCCCCAAAGATTTCTAAGTCACATAAGTCCAAATGAACTTGAAGTATTGAAATAATATGATCATGTATCGAAATGATTTATGTTGAATGCAGTACGACAACTGAAGGCCGATATGGTATTCCACAGCCCTCCACAAAAATATGATAAACTCAATTTTTTCCAAAATTATTTTTAAAGCATCACACAAATTGCGCAGATAGAAATCTTCTACGAAGACGACGGTGCTAAGAACCACAGCTGGTAAAATAATAAGATTTTTCTAAACATAATTTACAAAAAACTTACTATCAAATTTCAGCTTTACAAAAGTTTATAACACATTTGTGAATTAACATAGAAGGAATTTCTAATGCACATACATTTAAAATAATTAGGACTGTGTTCCCAAAGATTTTTAAGTCACATAAGTGCAAATGCGAATAATTATGAAGTTTCCTGAATGATGAAGTGAAAGTAGGTGTATATGTTAAATTGAGTTAGCATCACAGCTGAAGGCCGATATGGTATTCCACAGCCCACCACAAAAATATGATATACTCGACTTGAGAAAGTAAAATATCATAAAGGACCAGTGAAAAAACAAACCGAAAAAATAAATTCTAAATAACATAAGTTGGATTATTTAAAGCTAAAACCTTTCGTTGTTTCATTTTTCTAAAAATGCTCAAGTTGTTTCATTTTACCAATGTTTACAGAAACCTTTAAAGTAGTAGTAAAACGTAAGTACAAGCACACAATTCAAACTACTAAAAATAGCCACATACACAAAGTTTTCACCAGGTAGTAACGTCTTTTAATTATTTTTATTTTTTCCGATATTTATAGAGAAACAGTAGATAACAAAACAATAGAAAAGTAAGTTCAAGCACATCATGTAAACTAGGCACCGAAAATAGTCACAAACAGTTAGTTCAGATAAAGGTAATAAAGCCTATTTATTATTCTTTCACTTTTTTTCGATAATTATAGAGAAGCTGTAGATAAAAGTAATTTCTAGCACACGATGTGAACTACAGAAAATAGCCACAAACACTTAGTGTGGCTAAGGTAATAAAGGGAAAGTTTCCAAAGAACCAATTATGAGTTGAAAATCACGTGTCAGTATGACATGCTCTTCGAGGGATTCTAATAAAAAAAGTGCTGCTCTATGCTGCTGAAAGAATTAAGATTGGATTCTAGTATAAGTCAACGCCAAATATCCCGTAATCTCGGGATTCCAAGATCGACAGTGCAACGTGTCATTAACAGAAACAAATTACACGCCTACCACGATGCTAAGATACCACAGGGAGGATCCGCAGTTCTTCAACAAGGTTTTATGGACGGATGAGTCAACTTTTAGAAGAATGGGAGTATTCAATATCCACAATCTACATTTTTACTCCAGAGTGCACCCCCATATCATAAGAAATGATAAATTCCAGCATCTGTTTGGTATTAACATGTGGGCTGGTATAATTGGCCAGCAGTTGGTGCTGCATGAAATGCCAGCAAGGCTGAATGGTGCTCAGTATTTAAATTTTTTGCAAAATAATTTAAACCATATCCTTAACGAAGCTGAAGTTCCAGAAGAAAGAATAGCAGAAATGTGGCTGCAACAAGATGGCGCCCCGTCTCACTACGCTCGAGCAGTTAGAGATCATTTGAACGAGCGCTTCCCCAACCGGTGGATTGGTCGAGGCGGACATATTGCGTGGCTACCCCGGTCGCCCGATTTAAATCCATTAGTTTTTTTTCTTTGGGGCTACTTTAAAGAAATAGTTTACCAAGGAGAGAACAATAGCGAACAAGAACTACGACAAAAGCTCGAATTTGCTGGGTTACAAGTTACTAACAACGGAGGTGCATTCCGTAGGTTACGGAGGAATTTTATTAGACGGTGCAGATTATGTATTATGGTCAGAGGCAGGAATTTTGAGCATTTATTGTAAAATGTTTTGCTTAATAAAACAATTATTTCACAATCGTTGTCTTGTTTTTTTGTCCTAGAAATATATTAGAGCCACTCATGGCCATGTGTAATACCTTTTCGGAATCCTTATTAAATGCGCCAAAACTTGTAACACAGGGTCACTTTGCGGTAGAGTAATATTTTTTTTTCACAGTGGGGTCCAAAGTAAATGAAAAAAAAATCGTAAATCTTATTATTATCTTCAACACATCCAATAAACAACCATAAATAGCATGTCTAAGGCAAGTACTCATCAGTACCAATCTAGTGAAAATTATATAAAAGGGTTGACCTTAAGGACCTCCCGTAGAACAACTTTTTGCAGCTGATGACCCCACCTAACCCCTAGTTGCGTTGATCCACGACTTTTGGGCCACCCTGTATAGAGACATGAACACAGATAGAAGGAATTTCTAAATGAATGTGACTATTTCCCCAAAGATTTTTAAGTCACATAAATGCAAGTGCAAATGCGCTTATGAAGTTTCCTGAATGATAAGTTGAAATTATTAATGTTAAATTGACTTAGCACCACAGCTGAAGGTCGACATGGTATTCCACAGCCCACCAAAAAAATATACTAATATATAGATAAACTCGACTTGAAAAAGTAAACAATTGACTATTAAAATAGACTGTTCATGACCCTAATATGGCACCAGTGATATGAATATAAACAGAGGAAATTGTCGACAACATGAGTCAGATAATTTTAGAGCCAAGAACTGCAGTTGTTTTTTTTTCTAAAAAAAATGCTCAAGTAGTTTCATTTTAACCAATTTTCACAGAAACCTTTAAAGTAGTAGTAAAACGTAAGTACAAGCACACAATGTGAACTATCAAAAAAAGCCTTTTTTTTTAGAACAGAGACGCTTTGAATAAACGTTAATTCAAGCACATAATGTAACTAGGTACTGAAAATAGCCATAACCACCAAAAAGTGACTAAGGTAATAAAGGCAGAATTTCGCAAAGAATCAATTACGAGTCGATAATCACGAGTCAGTATGATATGCGCTTCGAGGGATTCTAATATAAAAGTATTGCTCTATAAAGGTGTGAATTAACATAGATAGAAGAAAATTCTAAATAAATGTGACTATTTCCCCAAAGATATTTAAGTCACATAAATGAAAGTGCAAATGCGCTTATGAAGTTTCCTGAATGATGAGTTGAAATTATTTATGTTGAATTGAGTTAGCACCACAGCTGAAGGTCGACATGGTATTCCACAGCCCACCACAAAAAGATAAACTCGTATTGAAAAAGTAAAAATTGACTATTAAAATAGATCGTTCATGACAATAAGATGGCACCAGAGATTTGAGTAACATAAGTCAGATTATTTATAGCTAAGCACTGCAATTGTTTAATTTTTCAGCACACAATGTGAACTACTGAAAATAGCCATAAACACAAAGTTTTGACCAGGTAATTAAGCCTTTTAATTGTTGTTTAGTTTTCCTGATATTTATAGAGAAACAGTGGTTAAAATTAAGTTCAAGCCCACAACATGAACTACCGAAAAAAGGCACAAACACTAAAATATGACTAAGGTAATAAACGCAGTTCCCAGAGAATCTGAAGAGAGAAGGTGAAGGTGCAGAGAACCGCACCTGTTATAATAACAACATTTTTCTTATCATAATTTACCAGCTATCTTTTCCGTAGTCAGTCTCTATTGATCGAAAACATAATTTCATTTTAGCGTTACCCAGACCTTCTGGGAAGGATTCTAAAGAAACGTAAGAGCAAGAACACAAACATGCCAATCTCATTGAACTTTTGGCACTGTTGTATTTCAGAGCTCATCAACGAAATACCAATTTAGTATTTCAGCAGGCAAGATGCTAAAAAAACGTAAGCGCAAGAGCAAAAAGAATACGTATAAAAAGAATATGTTTTTTTTTCACGAAATAATAATAATACGATAAAATATTTTTTACAGCTCGAGTATCAGCAGTATCAGAAGTCCTACCAACATTTCTCGGGAAAGATGCTTAGAAAGCGTAAGTGCAAGAACACATAGGATACAATGCAAATAATGAGCAATTCTTCCCAAAAAGAAAACTATTATCTGACATTTATCGAATCTCCATTTTGTAGCTGATACCATGGATATGCTACAACTTTGAAAATAGACCACAGTTCTCCAAAATTATCCTTTCAACATTTATTTTATTTCCACCGACACATTTCGGGGAGGATCCTACGATGCCTTAACGTTTTTTTTTTTATTTTGAGTGAGAAAGTAAGTTATTAGTATGAGAGCCAATACAGAAATTTCTCAGTTGTGGAACGGAGCAGAATATAATTAATGTAAGGGATTCTGGTTCAATATATCTGAAATATCGAGAGAATTCAATATTTCGGCGAGTATTATTTATTATTATTTTTTCACTTAACTTTTAGAAAGGGTCTCAAAATTTCCTCTAGCTGCGTGAATAAGACAACAAAGCTTTTATGAACGATCCATTTGTTCTTGTAAAAGTAAATTAATGGTTAATATTTTTATATCCAGTAATTATGAAATGAACTAAATATATTTATTTCAGTTTGACTTTTTGTATGAATACTCTTAGATTAGATTCCTCAAACATCGAGCTATAGGAGTAAAAATTTTTTTTTCAGTGTAATACGGTAAAATTATGGCTTCGCCGATTTGACAGTGAGGTCCCCACCTTAGAAAGAATGCCACGTATGCCGCAATCGACCATAATCACAGAGGAACGTGTGCAGCGTATGGTCTAGGTATATGAGCAGCATCCTTTCACTTCAACTCGTCTATTTTATTTGCAGAGGAGTTCGACTGCATAGCACAAACTATTAGGAATGGTCTACGAATATTGGTCCAATTACCGACATCTTTTGGACAATCTTCTGAGAATGCGTAAGGAGGATGTCGGTACTTGCAGAAATAAAAATAATAAAATATAAATCCACCCCTAGGGCTAACCTGGAACATTTTCCCTAATCGACAGATAAAGGTATGCCATTTTATAACTAACGCTATACTAGCCAATATTTATATGGATCAAACAACATAAAAGAATATCAGTTTAACTGATATATTTTGGGAAAGGTCCTAAAGAAGCGTAAGCCCAAGTACACAAAGAAGTTTCGATTCAATAATGCATCGCGATATTTTCAACCCAATTTGTACTTTGGTCGCTAAGAAGCATTAAATTGATCAGCAATTTAAATAATTTTTTTATTCTTTCAATCATATTTTAGTCTCAAATGGAAAGAAACGTAGAAAAAGAAAGAACACAAACAAAGGAAAAATACAGTGGAAGTTTGACATTCCCAATATTTTTAAAATAAGATTTTTGTTTCGATAATAGACACTTCGAAACTTGAAAAACAAATATAATATATTCCTTTATTCGTTGTCAAATACCTTATTTGGTAAGGAGAACAGTAAAGTTTTATAATTTGCACAAAGTGCAATTATTTTTCTTTCCTGTATTTTTTTTTTTAAATCTTTATTTTATTAAAAGGGCTTTTTTCCATACAGAAGATTTCAGCCCTTTCCTGTATTATTTTGTAGACGGCCTTTTTAGGATCAATTATTTTAGGACTCTTTAAACTTTACTAGAGCATCATGCCCGTACCACTTATAAGTATTAAGTTTACCCACTAAACTGTTTCAAAAACTATTCGACAACATCTTCTTGTACGAACTAACAAGAGAAACGAAAGCGAAAATACACTAACTTTGAGAATACAATAAACGCATTCAGACATTATTTTCAAGTAAAAAATATGACTCACTTGATTTATCAACGACACCAGTCATAGTCTAATCGCAACCACAATGACTTTTTATTTACCAATTTTATACCAATTTTATGGAAGGTATATGTAAATATTAATAATAAAGTTTTTATATGCATATGAAAATATGATACGTTAAATATATAATATAGATATTTGGGCCTAGTTCTGACGAAATCCAATTAGTCAAAATCACTTTGTCCAAAGTCCAAAAGACTTTGAATCTATGCACACCATAAAAAGACAAGGCAAGCCAATATACGAAACGAAAATCCACCTCAAGACACGATCACGACCACAAATCTATTTTAAAATCGAACAATCTCAATTTACCAAACTCGGCAAATCAATTCTTCTGGAAGTTTCACCAATGACCAATTTAGAAACGCACAAAGTTATAAAATGTAGACGTTCTAATAAACGAACAACCAATATTAACAACTTTTTCAAATATATATATATAGAATTCAGTAATATAATGAAATATATATTATGATAACTGACCGACAACCTAATCGGTACAACTTTAACAATAGAATGCAGAAAATTCCACAAAACTTTTTCAATTTATATTATTTCCATACCATAGACAATTTTTTTTTTTTTTATCAATACTTGACGGTGTAAGTAAAACTTTCGCGCCAACATTCCTTTGTAACAATAGCACAGATACATAATTTTTATCCAGTTCGTCGTAAAAGGAGGTTCTAAGTAACAAATTGAAACAGGACAGTGAAAAATTATTTAGAAACAAAATCATGCAAATTGTATTTACGGATTTAGCAGACATGGGCTATAAAACCGAGGTAATTGCTTTGTGTTATTTGTTTTCATACTGTGCATTATTGAAATTAATTTTGACCTTAAAAATCATGTTTTAGAAGTAGGCCTAAATATACAATGTAATCATAACATTTAATATGAATTACTACATTATCAGCTTGAAAAGAGGCTCATGTTTTAGTCCAGGCTTTCATATATATTTATGCCAATTTTAATCAAAGTTCATCCAGTAGTTTTAACCTGAAAATGTAAAAACATCCGTCCATACTAAGGAATAAATATTTAAAAACATAGGCGTATGGTTCTTGCCCCTTAAAAAAATTGTGATGCTTACGTTTATTATTTTGTTAAATTTATGTTTTTTTTTTTTTGTTTTAGTTTACCAGTCAAGATAATCAGCCCTTTTATACAGTGTGGCAGGGTTTGTATTTCCTAATTTTATTTATTTTTTGATAAACTTATATGTTTTTTTTTAGAAAAGAAGAGAGCATTTTAAATTACCCACATTATATTTTTTTCTCTAAAACAGTGAAGTAAAAGGAACTTACTTCTAGATTTTATTTGTTTTACTACAACGTTATTAAAATTTAGGAAATAGATTTGAACAAATTCAAAGATTGTGAATTTTGAGCCTGACTTAAAATAGCAAGCATAGAAGTACACTTTACATACCCTCTAACGTAAATGTTTCATAGATTATAACAAATCAATTAATAGTTACGGGTATCATTCTTTATTTATTTTTTCCAGATGAACAAACTACCAAGAAAAGATTAAAAAAGAAACGAATTCGTTCTGCGTTTACAACAAATCAGTTGACGATGTTAGAGAAAACATTTAGTAGCTACAAGTACCTCACTCGACAAAGACGTATAGAAATATCTCAAGCTTTAAATATCAGTGAACGGTGCGTAAAAATTTGGTTTCAAAACAGAAGAATGAAAGAGAAGAGAGAACTTTTAGAGAATGGCGATGATTCTACAAACCAATTAGGTTGTAACAAAGTCAATATATTGTCTTCTATACCTCGAGCTGACACAACTAAAACTCAAAATGGTAAGGATATCCAAATAGTATGTATTCCTAGTAAAGTTACTAAATCAACTTTCGAAGAAAATGTTGATGAATCGACAAATAACTTGAATCGATTCGTCCAATCACCCGATAACAACACTCCACATTTAAATCAATCACACGAAGTACGATGTGATTCGTTGCTTTCAAATTTAGAACATACATCTGAATTCATTGCCGAATCAGATACCAATGTATTACTTACTGACTTGAGTGAAGTCATCCAATCAAATAATGCTTATAACTATCCTTCTCAAAATCAGTCTTGCGAAATGCAAAAAAGTTATGGATCAAATGAAACCTCATTTAATTTTTCATTACCCTCTCGATCCAAAAATGAAATCGGAACATTAAATTCAAATTCCTACAGTCTATCTGATCAGGCTTTAAGATCAGATCCCGGTTACTACAATTATCATTACCCTCCCACGGGTGTAGGGAATGGGTATGAATTGGATTATAGTTCAGTTAGTGATTCATCTACTGCACCTTATAATGAAAATGAAACATCCTATTCAAACGTGTCTGACTTGGTCAAAGAAAATGTCAATAAACCTCCTATAAATGTAAGTCAAGACAATCAATATAATCTTGTTTACTATAATCCGTATGAGTCGTATGGAGAACAACAAGGCTTTGCACACAATCCTTATGATAATCAGAACACATACTCCACGAACTCTTTTCGTTTTGAAGGTAGAAACTGTCAAGTTAGTAATGAAGGAAATAGCCATTGGTTCTTCGATAATCAATCTAGTTACTTAAACCTGTAGGTATAATATTGTAAAATCCTAGTGAGTGATATTTATTTAGCCTATTGTATTTATGGATCAAATTATGTGTACAAAGAATCACATTCCTTGTGAAATATTTAACATATTGTAACAAATGGTGGATTTCTTTTCGAGTAACAATTAGGTATATCGAAAATGTATAACTGGAGTTTTTTGATGTTCTGATATGGTAAACAGCAACACAGTGAGTAGAAAATAAAATCATTCATTACAACAGTTCATTACCGACCCAGTCATAAGGCTCTTTTTTTAAGAAAATTGGGTGTTACTTTTTATATGTACTGTTAACTGTTAAGGCTTTTTATGTGAACGAGTGTCTGTCCTTTAAAAAAATAAATAGTTATGTTACGTTATGGTTATAACTAAATTTATAGCATGTAAGTATAATTTAATTTTTAAAATTGTATTTAATTTAAAACTATTAATAGTAAGATGTTTAAAATAAGTGTAAATAGTAATAATTCAAAATTAAAATTAAATCTTTAGAAATAAGTTATTTTTAGTAAATTAATATTACAAGGGTATTGAGCGAATTTAATATGTATGTGTAGGTAAAAACCTGAATTAGATTTATATTTATATTTAAACCTAAAATGGTTGTATAATATTTAAAAGTTAAGTTATTTATTCTACATAATTTATTTCTGAACTAAAATGTGACAAATTTATTTAAATACTTTTATTTGATGATGAGGGTGAATTTATTTTTATAGATATCCTAACTAATGTTTTCTTTTCTTTGTCTTATTTCACATTCAAATGTTATTTATTTGTAAATAGAGGTATCTACCTATGTAGTTAAATATTACCAATGTATTAAAGTTATTATTTAATAAATATTAAATGTAAAAAGTGTGTTTTTTATCTATTTAAATAATATTTTTCGGAATTACAATAGAACTTTTACGGCCTTATAATAAAACAACTACAAGGCTTTTCGATAGTCTAGGTCTAAACTGGATTAATTCTAATAGTTTTTTTCAATCTCTTGTCTGCCAGACATGGAAGTGTAGAAAATATGACAAACAATAGAAAACACTGTGTCTAGCGTGGATCCGCGCTCGCCTTATACCACGGGTAATTAAATTTCAAATTGAAGGTAGGTGGAATTATGATCAAAATATAAAACCAGACTATAAAGTTTAAGCCTAGACTAAAGATAAATTTTGCTTTATTATAAACGGCCTTATTAAAAAACAAGGTTTTTATTTAGTTTGAAACCATTGAGTCAGGTTTTTATTTAGAATTGAGGGTAGATGAGAATAAGATTCAAATACAAAGGACTGATTGAGTAATCACGTTAGATCACATTGAAACAAAAAAAAAAAAAGAATTTTATTTTTTTCTTAACAATGGCGATGTTTTATTACTTATAAATTTTAATTAATTTGTGTTAAGTACTGTAGTATTGATGACCTAAATCCAGGATTGAATATAAGAAACGCTGAATGTTTTATTTTTCGAGACGGTAAAATTTAATGTAACTTAATTACTTATATTAAGAGCTGCATTATTAAGGTATTATACGCATCAACCTACTTCAATATTTCATATATCTTCAACGAGCCAATTTTATTATTCGCCGAAATGAAAGCATAAATACACTTCAAACGAAACTATAAATACCCTGTTTTTACTTTAATTTAAATATTATTTTCTTTACAATTACCTACTTGTTATTTGCATTTTTAACCTACCCGAAGTTCCTCCTGTGTACCTAAACCCTTTTTTTGTTAATGCAAAATCATCAAATGGCTTCTCCCGCCCAGGGTGGGGCGAAAGGGAGTGTCAGACTCTTATGCTGGGGCCACACAGACGGGAAAGCCAATAATTATCGAGATAATTAATGATATTAAAAAAAAATTAACAATGTACCTTAAATCATTTGCTTAGTGATCAAATTACACCTACGATTAACGTCCATTATCGCGATAATGAATGATATTTCCCGTTACTTAAAACTTAAAACCCCCCGTTCCTTCTCGGGCTGCGGTGCCTATTGGGCTTGCCCTGCAACCCCGGCCGAACATCATCAGTAGGGTTCTGTCTGTGTGTACCTACACCCTAACATTTCAGTTTCATTTCATCGCTACGTGAATTTTAGTAATTTTTGTGGCTCGAGTTCACTTTTAACTTAATTTTTAATATTTTCTTTTACAATTACCTATTTTGTGTCAAGGTCAAGCTTAATAACGCAAGGTATCCATTACAAAAGCAGTGAAAAACTTCAGTTTGAGGCTGCTTGGTGTAAGGCCTGGTATAGTATTACTGTGCTTTAGGCATTAACCCTTTCCCTTTGCGGATAAGGCTGAGACGACCCGCCTTATCGTTATCCGGGGGCCGGCCATCATATGTATCGCCAACATATGATGGCACCAAACGTGCGTAAAGCAATTTTTGTGCCAATAAATAATAAAAATTGTTCTGTGTGCATAGTGAGTGACGTCATGCATAATTTTATTTACAGATTGACTATTCAAAAATTGTACACAAGCGTTGAGAGCTGGTGCACACAGTAACACGTAAAAGGTGTTTTAGAAAATGCGGTGAGTTCTTAGCATTCCTTTTGATTTTATGACATTTAAAATTTTAAAGTTACCGAATTTTGTCCGTTAGTTCCATTTGAACGATTATTTTTGTGTTGATTATTTAATTTATCGAGAAAGGCTACAACACATTTTATTCCAACCAATAGGAGCCGAGCAAATATAATTGTGCGGGTTTAACTTTTGTTTCATAAGATATAGGTACCTATGTAACGCCGTGTTGAGGAGTGGTGAAGCAAGAATGGTCGTGAATGTCACAAGTGTTTTATTATACTGTATACTATAAAGAAAAGAAATACTATTGTGGTATTTGCGGGTTCCAGTTTCAATTTCAATCGAGTGTAAAATGGAAGCAGTCAAACTGAGGAGTTGGTTATAATAGTAATTCATCAGACCCCAAGAGAACGCCAGCATTAGCGCATCTCAGGGCTTAGTCCGTCCCTAAGACTACCCACTGACCGTTGCTTGAAAGTTTACCAGAATCAGGAAATGGCCACTACCTACATACATAACTGAACTCTCAAATGTGTCGTCTCATCATCCAAATGTCTCATTAGTCAAGTAATCATTAGCCCAACACCTAATTTTTGAGTACAGCCTTTTGATCGCACCTATTTCTATGAATTATGAATCTTACTTAATAAAAGGCGGTGTATTGTGAGGAATATGGTAGATAGACTTAGTCAGCAGTTAGCTAAGCAGTGAAACTTCAGTCCAAAGTTTAATGTTGTGATATAAATTCGAAAATTGAATGAATTTTTTTACAGATTGGAGGTAGATTGACGCACCTCGCCTGACCGGTTTCTTCGCAGTATAACCGGTGTAGTGCAGCATAACATAGGTGATTATAATTTGCATTTTATAATTTTAATAGCAGACCGCCCCTGCTTCGTAAGGGTAGCCGACTTCCCCGGTGTCAGTCATTTGTTTTGCAAGGGAACTTACACGGCTCCGAAAGGGTTGTTGGTTCCCGCTATTCCCCTTTACTTTACACACTTCATCATTGAAACAATGAATCAATGAAATTCGTTCGTCTTACAGTCGTCTTACCTAACCCAGATATTCATCCATCCATACACTTAGAGAGATATTCGTCTATCAAAGAAAAAGAAATCACTACCTACATTTTATATTTTTTTATAGTCAGGGTCTTCTGCGGGTAGAGGTAAAACTTAGTCGTACAACTCAGCAATGCTGCCAACCTTCTGGGCACACTCCCCGTTGTCATAGGTTTTTTTTTGCGGCTGAATTTCAATGCAAAATAATAAAGTATTTTTTTTTATTATTTCAAACATTTTTAAAGGAATTTTTAGATTGAATTATATGAAACATCTAAATAAGTATTGTTTCTATTGAAACTGACTTAACTACACCAATTTAATTGATTATTAAATATTTAATGGGCGTCATAATTAACTAACGTGCCATTATCATTAGTACAACGAGTTTTATTAAGTGAACTCAAATTAGTAAATAACTTGTTTGAAATATTAGTTTATTATATTTATTATGTAATCTTTAATTGTAATGGTAATGTCGAGAAAATAATTCAAATAAAACAGTAACCAGGGTCGGAGAATAGGATAGGATTTTTATATCTATGCAGTTCGTTAATTACATGGTTTTATTTAAAATTTATAATAAGACATAATTATGTGAACGTAAATAAAATGTCATATGTAGTTCATTAAATTCATCCAACCCCGAGGGAATGCCAGCGTTCGCGCACCTATTATGTATTGATTTTGTATTATTATCTGTAAAAAAAATATCATGACTAATTTATTTCGTCTTTCACAGACACAAATTTTGCTTGCGACCACAAAAGAAGCCAATGGAACCACCTGCACAAGTTACAATGCAGAAGAATAGCAACGTGCAGACTGCAATAGATGTACAGTGTATTTCCTATAATGAAAAAAGGCGCCTTCAGTAAAATAAATACGCATGCATAAAAATAACTGAAAGCAGCAATTCTGCGATCTATTTAGTTTTATTTATGGTGTAGGTCGACAAACGAGCAGACGGATTACCTGATGGTGAACAATCAGCGCCGCTCATCGGTGTCCATGTTATGTAACTAGTGCGTTGCCGGCCTTTATAGGATAAGGGTTTCGGATATTTAAGGATTGGAAAGTGATGGGGGGAGGGGAGGGATTGGAAGGTTTCACGTCGGTTTTCTGTGAGGCCGTGCTATCACTCCGGCTGAAGCTTGACTCTCCTACACTTAGTACAATTAGTACAGAAACTGCATTAACCACTCCGATTTCCTATTATGAACTTAAAATGTAATTAAATACTTACATTTTGATATCATTAAGTTTAGGTAAGTACATTAACTAATAGCTTGGTGTTGAACATAAAACTTTCCGTACTATTATTTTTTTAATTAGACAAGACTGTAGACGCTTTCGATTAATCGTTAGTTTATGAATGTGCATTTCTAACGACATCGTCTGAGTCCAGAGGGCAACCATGACGTGTTAAAGTGTCAATCTTCCGGGCGAGAAAGAGGGATGGAGCTATACACCTTTTATAGCTCCATCCCTCTTTTGTAGGCCCTCAGGTATATATTAGCATGCAGCATGTGTTCAAATAAAAGTGCAAAATAAAACAAGATAAACATTATATTTTTATTAGTCTTAGAAAACTCAGTTCAACAATAAGGACTTACTCATTCAACTCACAAGCTGGGAAATGAGTTGTGCCCAATTGCTGTACCTATGAACCCAGCTATGCTCTTAAATGTAAACAATTATTTCAGCATAGCAGTGTCCAAAAAAAATTACAATTCACTATGTATTACTTAATCCTAACTTAACTAATAATTCATTGATAACAACTACAGTTACTCGTTCACAACCGCTAATGAATTACCTAAATTAAAGCTACTTAAACTATTATCACAGAAATTTCATATTTGGCTATTATCATCATCTTGAACCATGTGTAGTCGCTTCTAGACATAGGCTTCCTCCTTATGCTTTCAAGCTTTCCGGCCTTGTGCTTTTTGCATCCAGTCCTCGTCTTTCAGTTCAACTTTGCACCCATGTTAATAAATCCTATTAGTCACAACATTCATGGAAGTTTTGTACTAGGGTCCTGCAGAGGCACAGCAGTAATAAAATATTGATAATTCGGATTTTGCTGTAGAAAGGTATAAGGTACTTGGGCCATTAACTGTCTAATATTAGGATCACAGTGCCAACACTTCTTTATAACAACCTTATCTTGCGATGATGACACATTATTCACTAATAAAGTACTTGGAGCAGATATTGAAGCACTAGGATTAACAGACACATCCATTTGATTCCAAACCATAGGGAAGTAGTTCTGTGGATATAACGATGGAACTGTTGGTACTGATGTTAATCCAGGATTATTAGAAGTAATCTCAGTGGTAGTTGATACAGGTTCATAAATTTTGTTGTCGGTTGTTAATTTTTCCGTCTTTTCCTGTTGTATGCTATTGTTTGATTGATTGCTCTTTGATTCGTCTAGTTCCATCTGACTTGCCTGTTTCTTCATAACTGTCTTAGAAAGTTTTTCACCATCACACTTTTTACTTAAATTAATTGATTTTTCAGCTGTTGTTCCTGATTCCGTGGATAAGGCATCGGTACTGATTAATACACTATTTTGCTCTATTTTGGCTGTAGATACTGTATTTTGAGCAGCTGAAGCCGTTGAAAGTTCAGAATTAATCAATGGAATCATTTGGTCAATATTATCTGTGGAATGATTTGTTATAAAATTTTCATTTAAATCTTTTCCATTTAACAGTGTTTCTGATGGTAGTGGTTCAAAAAATGATGACTTAATTACATTATTTAGTAGCCTTTTACTATATTTGGTATATTCCGCATGTCTAATTTGTTCATTGTCAAATTCTAGACCACCGCCTTCTCTTTTTTCCTTCATTCGACGATTTTGAAACCATATTTTAATAGCTCTTTCACTGATATGTAACTTTGCAGCTATTTCTTCTCGCTGGTCATTTGATATGTAAGGACATTTTTGGTATTGTTTTTCTAAATAGTTCACTTGATCTGTTGTAAATGCGCTTCGGAACCTTTTCATCTTTTTTCTAGTATTATGTTGCTTATAGTTCATTTGAGTATCCATCTGTAATTGAAAGAGGACCAAAATTATTAGTTTCTAAAGTTAAAGTTGTTACTTCCATACTTTTTCTTTTTATATTAACATTTTATCTAACTTCTACGTTATCCATAGCTGACCTTATCACTTTAAGTGCAATATAAAATAAATGCACACACATAATTATATCTTTCTTGTAATTTTTTGACTTCCCAGAAAATTATTCTTCTTACACGGAGAATGAAAGAACAATAATCACCACGCCAGCTCAAGGCTGACTGGTGATATAAAATTTTAATTTTATATAAAATTATATTTTGTCGCAAAAAATATATAGACCTCTAGTCACATTGATACTTGCCGGACGGGTTTTAAAACTACGCTCTGAAGTCTGATAGGTCTTGAGCTCCAAACCATCAATACCATTGTACAGGGCCAGTTAACCACTGAACAGGCCACAGCTAACAGATAATATGGTATATAATATGGTATTATTTCAAGTTATTATGATCTGTTTATAAAATGTTATCGTGTCAGATGTGTTTATTATTCTCTTTTTCATTGCAACAAAAATATTGAAGATATCTCTGGTAAAACACAGTTTCTGAACGAACATTCAGTTGAGAGTTGTCATTCAAAGTGATTTCAAATATTTTGATCCCTTTATTTGTAATTCAAACTGGGAGTAGTAGTAAGTAACAAATAAATTTATAAAACAATTAGCTAAAATATAAATAGGCTTCTGTGGTTTAGCACAAGGGGTGAAAATACAAAATTTACTTACATTTTCTTTTCCAGTATTACAATCAGCACTAGCTTTCTGAAAATTAGCACTCGCGCGGTTTCTTAGATACAACTGGTATCTCATGTTAATAATAATTACACAATCGCCCGGGCATGAACTAGAAACCAACTCAGAGAAATTCCTAAGTAGTGCAGTCGTATATATAGTCAAGTCAAGAAATCGTTGTTTAATGAAGATATTATTACAGCTACTACGTTACTTAACGGCCATTAATTACCAAACTAATTAAATAATCACACAATTCAAAGACAAAAGAGAAGCTGAATATAGGTCATATGCAGCAGAGGCATGTTAGTATACAGACAGATATATGTGATTATTTTTATAAAATTAAGTACATACAAATAATTTACTTCAATTTCATTTCGACTTTAAAACATATAGGCAAAGATAATAAAAGTTGCTAATTATAAATAAAAGACTGAATACAACACTATCAGTGCTGAACAACACGATGCGGCCACAGTAAAAATATCATACAGTATTGTAACTCGGCCGCTTGAAAGAAATAAATACCTACAGCCGCGCGGTACGTAAACATGCGTTAGGGCTGCTCGTCTCCAGTATTTTAATTACCTTTGTCTACTTTCTGTTTCCATTTAGTTTTGTGATTGTAAATATCCTTTTTTTATATAAACAAATAAAGTGCTTTAAAAATAAACAAACAAAATTTCTTTGGTCGCCAATGCCGAACTGAACAGCTGACTACGAATGTTCTAAAATCACAACGCTCAAACATCAAAATATTACATGAGTCTAGCTGTTACTATTGTTGTTATTAAAACCGAGAAAAAAAAACAGTTTTTATTAGTATTATGTTGTTAAAGCAGCAGCAAAAACTCTTTATGAAAATTTCGAAAACTATCTAATGACACAGAGACTGTCAAATTTATTTTTTCTAGTATTATTCATAAACACAGATAATAAACAAATATTATTAATAATAAAATACCACACTCTCTAATTTGAATTATACAAACTAACAAAACATACATGAACCGTTTTAACAGAAGCGTAAGTAGGTAGGTACCTAACGTATCATAATTCATTCAGAACCAGAACCGAGAATTGAGACGAGTGAATATTTTATTTATAAATTCAAACAACTGTTTTCGTGAGATAAAAGGAAATAATGATCCATTATAAAGACACACATTATGTACCTACCTAAGCTACTAGTAAGTAAAATTATTTTATAGTCTTACCTACCTTTCAGAGTTTCCAGGTAATTTAAAAAAACTTATATCTGGATGCGTTATTGACGAATTCATGCAACCAAACACAGCACAATATTTCCTATTCGTCATATTAGATAATGTACTCGAGCTGATTTCTAAATAAAAGACAACACACTGTCCGTTCGTCACTGCGGTACAGCCGCGTCTGTCTGCGTCCCGAGCGCGCCCCGACATCGGGCGCGTAGGTATAGTTCGCGTTTCGGCCGTTTCTATGAAGTTGGAATACTTGTAGATATTATTACCTTGACGCGGCCCAAAACAATTACCGACTTGACGCAACCTAGTTGCTGAGTTTGTGCGAATTACTTTGCATTAACATTGACTACATCGATCGGAGGAGCAAGGCTTTCCTTGTAATTTGTTGATGTTGGAATGTCTTTGTAAACACAAACATATATATTGACAGGCTCCGTAAATGCGACTTGTTCACATAAAATAAACAATAAAAATGTGACAATGAACTTCACTGTCTTGCCATTAGGAATACGTCGCCCTACAATAAACTTTTTAAATCTTTGCTTATACAAACAATTGTATATTATTTCGACCATATCCCTTCAGTTGACTATTGCAATCGCACATTTATTTTTGTGCTCCAGAAAATCAAATTAGCTTCTCTCGCGCGGTTTCACCCGCTGCTCGGCTCCATTTAATTGTAGCGTGATGTTTTATAGCCTAAAGCACTCAGGAATGTTGTAGCTATCTATAAGTGAAAGAATTTTGGATCCGACCAGCAGTTCCAAAGATTACCCCTTACATACAAACTTACAAACTTACAAATTTTACCTCTTTATAATATAAGTATAGATAACATTTGAAATTTAACGTTCGACATGTCAAGTTGACGCTTGTCATTTGACATTTTACATTTGACGTTTGACGTGTGACATCAGGAGTGGACGTTTAACGTGCCGTTTGGTGGTTAAAGATTGACGTTTAACGTGCCGTTTGGTGGTTAACGATTGTCATTTGTCATTTGTCATTTGTCATTTGATTTTTGACATTTGACTTTAGACATCCGACGTCCGACGTCCGACGTCCGACGTCCGACGTCTGACATCCGACATCCAACATCCGACATGCGACGTCCGACATCCGACATCCGACATCCAACATCCAACATTTGACATCTGACATCCACCATCCGACATCCGACATTCGACATTTGACATTTGACATCCGACATCGGACATTTGTCATTTGTCATTTGTCATTTGTCATTTGTCATTTGTCATTTGTCATTTGTCATTTGTCATTTGTCATTCGTCGTTCGTCATTCGTCATTCGTCATTCGTCATTCGTCATTCGTCATTCGTCATTTGTCATTTGTCATTTATCATTTGTCATTCGACATTCGACATTCGACATCCCACGTCCGACATCTGACATCTAACATCCGACATCTTACATCCGACATGCGACATTCGACATTTGACGTTTAACATTAGACATTTGACAATTGGCAATTTCTTTCTTTCTTTCTTTTCTTTCTATATTCGACGTTTGACGTTTGACATTTGACATTTCATATTTGACATTTGACTTTCGATTTTCACCACTTGTCTTTCGATGTCATACGTTAGACATTTGATTAATATGAGGTGCCCAATCACCTATTTGACAAAAATTGTATAAAAAATATGATTTATCTCTTTAGCTATTACGGGTACCCATGGGCACCGCTGATTGGTTACCAAAGTATGCTCGTTTGCCGCCCTTTAATTATGAAAACTATCAATTAATTAATGCTACGTATATTACGACAAATAACAATGATAATACGTTCATTGTTGCGATGGTCGTTATTAGAAATCCATTAAAGTTAATTATATGCAAAGTCACCAATGTAAAATTATTCCGAAGTTTAATATTTATTTTATATTTTCTTTTGACAAATTACATCGTGACAATGTATTTACGCATTATATTTTGAAGATGAATATGATATTATGAAGATAGCATTACCAATAAAATTTAAATAAAAAAAACTATTTTACATATAAATTATTTTATGAGCAATTAAAGAAACAGATTTTAAGTGCAGAGACACAGGTGACATTATTAATATTATACATCACTTTTGAGAGAAATTCGCATTGCTAATCGGTCAATAAAAAGCTTAGTCGCCTCCAGAAGCCTCAAGACGACAGATCTGCTTCTCATGTCTGTAATTACTATATGATAGTTGGCAAAAAAGGAAAAGTCCTACATGATAATGATTTTTTATTTTGTATTTAAAGTTCCATAATAAAACTTAAAGTTATCAAGTAATTATTTAATATACATTTTAGGGGTGTCCATAATACTTAACTAAGTAGTTATATCCATCATTGATTAGTTAATAACTTGCTAATTATTGAAATACTTATGTACTTTCTATGATTATTTAGACACCACTGACATACTCGTACGGTGAAGGTAAACATCGTGAGGAAACCTGGTCTTATAATTTCTAATTGTAAGTTTGAAATCGCCAACCCGCATTGAGCAAGCGTGGTGATTAATGTTCTAACCTTCTCCGTGTGAGAAGAGGCTTTGCTCAGCAGTGGGCATTTATAGGCTGATGATGATGATGATGATGAATTATTGAAATATCTACAAAGCACAGGTGTTTGCTGTACCCCAATGTCAAACTGTCACACGTGCTAAGTCCCTAACTCTTCGCAATCTGGTCTCGACGATCTCCTGGAATCCAAATGCTACAAGATAGTACCAGTACTCCACAAGCCTCCGATTCAAGAAAGCCAGTGGACTATTCAGAAAAATGAATAGATGAATATTGTAATTATTAGGTTTTTAGATATGATTTTCATTTTCATTTGTCATTAGACGTTTGACATTTGACATTCAATGTGTGATGTTTGACATTTGTCGTTAGAAAATATTAAGTACGTACATAAAAAGTTGTATCTCAATATCTTGTCAGGTAAATAAACAAATGTGTGAAGTATCATGGTGTGCATGACTAAATGTAGAAGGACCAT